TTACTGAAAGATTGAAAAATTTATCTAGATAAAAATGTGAAATCAATTTTGCCGGACCATCAAAATAATTACATAGGATGCTCAAGCATGATACTACAAGAAGTTTTGATGTCGAGCAATCAGCTTGATCATCCTACATAATTATTTGGATATTATGGTCTAACAAAATTATTTTTAGATCTTTATTTAACTCAATTTTTAAATATTTTAGCAAAACCGTTGTTTCTATATAGGTACAATTAAATTATGAAGATAAAAAATACATTATCTATTTATATTATCAAAAGGCAGAAGTTATAATTAGAACCGAGACGGCAAGAATTAATAATTCATTAGCTTAACGTGAATCGTAGAAAATCATTAGAGCGGGAATAAAATGACGCTTTCATCGTCCTATTGAAAGCCTTATCTGACTATCAATATTATCTACGAAGTACGAATATTTTACGTTAATTAACTTCCTGTTTCGTCGTCAACCATTTTACTTTGCGATTCCCCGCTCGTCTCTTTTAAACAATAGTGCGCGAACCGTACGTGGCCTCAATGCTTCATCGGGACAATCTCGATATTGCGACGTATACGCGAGTCGCGTTTGTTCTTTCTCCGATTTCGAAATCACAGAAATTGCGTAAAGATGATGAATTTTTCCTATAAAAAAATAATACAAATCTGCGTAATACTTTTTTTATTTGTACCACGAATATTGAATATTGGAGAAATATTTGTATATCTCTTTAACATCACATTTAGCATCTAAAACTATGCATAAGAGCACTTTTCTTTTTATTACATAATACGATTCTATATTTGCCATTACACATAGTTATATCATAAATATACGTATATATTGCTAAATTTTAAAGGAGAGCTCTCTTAATACGCTTATTACGATAAAACGACGAAGAGATGGCTGCTTGCACAATAGGTTTCAATTTGTTTTTCAATTCAATTTACGTTACGCAAAAGCGGCGGAATGTTAAATATCGGTTAAGTCATCCGAGATATATCACGGGCCGTGAATCTTACGAAGTCCTGTCTGTCCTCTGCACGACACGCGTGCGTCCTGTCGCTGTTCTCACGCCGCAGAAACGAGTCCGATCGAGTCGTGACCGCCGATCCCAAGTCGTCCCAATTTGGAAAAGCGGAGCTGTCAGAATAAACGCGCTTCTCGAGGTGTACTAATGGGATGATCAGCTGAGGATCGTTTATTTCAGTATTCGTTTGTCGATGGGTGGCTCGGCCGCAGAATAAAAGTCGTAGTCGTGCGAAAGTCGATGGTGACGAGAAAAACGATGACGCGGGTTCCTCTCACGCGGTTAACAACGGATACAACGTGATCGGTGTGTCTTCTTTCTCTCTCTCTCTGTACGAACTTGTCCGCGTAAATGTTGTCCCGCTGGGTCAACAGCTGGACGGGGGCTAATCGATATCTATTCTGATCCCGAACGAAAAGACACGTGAGCCAAGTATTTAGCGGCATGCGATTGCGGTCCGACAAAAAAAATGAAGAGAGATAAAAATGAAAAATATAATACGAAACGAGATACAGAAAAATTGTATACTTTTCAACAAGTCATACACTGTCAAATTATATTCAATTTGAGTTACTTTTAACCATTTCTGTGGTCGCCACTACGACCACTCAGACAGTTAATTTACTTAAAACAATAGAGCTGAATAATTTAACTCATGGAAATGTATTGAATGTAATTTATAAATTATTTATTAAGTGTATACTATTTAATGTGGACGTTGTTGGACTTTGAAATTGAGCAATTCAACTACAAAACTGGATTAATTTACATTTTGATACACAAAGAAGTTAAAAATAACAAAATGTTATCTAACTTAAAAGATTATGTTATCATTATTCCTTTGATATTTAACAGTATATTACACGCCGAGGCGAAGGGGAGAACAATTTCACTCAACTTCGAAACCATCGTTTTGTTAATTCTGTTCTCGTTAATTACTAGATTCTAGGAACCTGATCAATTTTCTTGATCATTTGTTAATTCAGTTACCAATTACCATTTCATCTTGAAGTTACAGCGTAATCCAATTATCATTAATTTGGAAAAGGAATGAATAAATTTCTCAGGATATAATAGGTATTTTGTACCGCGCGCACGATTATTCTTCGTAACACAATACAGCCTTTAAAGAAGATCCTGAAGAGCCTAAAAGAGAAAACCTGTCTCTTCGTTTATTAATTCATTCGTCAATTTTCCTGTCGCTCATAATCACGCGATGTATCATCTGGCGATGCCATCAAATGAATTGAATGACACGACATTCCAGCCCGATGTCAGAAACAGTCTTAATTTAACATTCGATCGTTCGCAGGCAATGACGCCTACCACGTAACGCGAAGGACGTCGTAAGCTAAGGGTAGAATATCAATCCCCTGCGAATTTTCATATCCATCAGTTTCAGTTGCCTGTGAACTTATTTTTGTTACAGCGTTAAACAATCTCATGGAATTCTACAATCATTATGAAAATATTTTCTACGTAATTCATTTTACGTAATAAATATTATCGTACACATTTATAACACATTTCGCGAAGCGAAACATTGTGAGAATTATAGTAAAACTTGTTGCACGATGATTTCATGATTTACAAAACGATGAAAAATAACTTTGTGCTTAGCTGTCTCGGTTAGTTATCTCTAAAGTTGTTTTCCGAGATTTTACAGTTGATAGAATATAGAGAAGTCTGCTTTAGCTTGAGAGATGGCAGAGGTATAATAATAGATGATGTTACTTGTTCATTGTTAAACTTCTAGAAACTCCTAGAAACTCCTCAGCTTTACAGCTTCAACATCGGAAACTTCAGTGGACGTTCAGAGTGCAATACTCAGAGAGGAAATTCGTGCCTTCTTGTTGAGAATTATTAAAAAGATTTGTCTCGCTAATTATAATCAATGAATTTATTACTTGCAATTGAATTTATTACTTGCAATAATTTATGAAATCACTAAAAATCGTTCTCATGAATAATTATATTATTAATAACGACACACAAAAAAATTAAAAAGTAAAGTAAAAAAAAATTAAAAAATTAAAATTAAAAAATTAAGTAAGAGTAAAATTAAAAATTAAAAAAATTCTCTGCACTTTATCGAGCATTTTTTGTATACGTATTCATCAAGTATACGCAACAACTCCCTTTAACATTTAATTAAAGCTTTTTAATTTAAATTTTCAATTAATCTACCTGCAATAAATTTTAAATAATCCAAATTAAGCTTTTTAATAAAATTCGAATTAATTTACCTACAACAAATTTCAAATTAATTCTAAAAACAATTTATTCCAACGTTGGAGTGTTCCACATTCTGGAAGATAAAAAAAAAAAGAAAGAATATAAATGGAACTAGAAAATATTGTACTCGTAAAAGTAATCAGAGCAATTCAGTATTATATGTAAGCGATAGTGAAGAATATTGAGTTTTCGATAGCGTATCGAATAACACGTGCTCGTTTTTGCTCGCAACCGATATAAAAATACCTCTGACCTTATCTGCGATGATTAAAATTGATCGGTTTACGCAGGAGTGGAGCGACTACGGCAGCGCGAACCTGTTACGCAGCTTCAGTCACCCGACTTTTGACCTCTCGCATTCCCCTTCGAACATTAATGATTCTCAACTCGCTCGTGCGCAGCTACCTGGCTGCCATTGACTTCGTCGTGTCCTTTCAATGTTTCTCACCGACAGGAAAAACGGCGGTAATCTCCAACACGATTAGCATTAACTTTGCCTTTGATTTTCGCAACATTCTTTTATAATATAAAAATGGAAGGAAAATTGTCAATGTTAATTTAACTTTACGATGATATTGTTCGTCGACAAAGATAAAAAAGAACTCCAATTACATAGGTACATAAAAACTTTAATGTTTAATCCGGAGATTAGATCATAGTATTCTTACGTATTTCAACGCTGTGAGACCGAATTCGGTGTCCAAATTGTTCCATCACGTCACAGTTTTTTTTATTGATGAAAAACAACTCGATATTCCCGTATTTTTAAAGTATGTTACACACACACACACACACACACACACACACACACACACACACACACACACACGCACACAACACATATTTATGGTCTGGTTTTTAATATGCAAACTGAGGTAGAAGTGAAAAAGTAAGTTCAAATGCAATCTAAAGTTAATATGCAAGCTGGTAGGTTAAAAATATTTAACATTCGAACTGTTTTTTGTTGATAAAAAATTGTGACGTGCTCGGTGACGTATGATGGAGCAATTTGGACTTCGAATTCGATTTGAAAGCATCAAAATATATAAAAATATCATCTAATTTCTAAATAAAAAAAATTATTTGTATGCCCGTGTTATTATTTCGACGTGTCTGCCATCACCAGTTTTATATTGATTCAAACGAGAGGGAAGGAGTAGCGTCTCGTGAGACTTTAATGCTGCATTTAATATCAAGTATTAGGTTTATTTAGGTGGTACCGTAAGTTATTATAATTGCTATTAATCTATCAGGCAATGAAAAAAATTTGCGAGGAAATTTATTTCATAAGTTACAGTTTCGCAAACAATAAACGAATGCGAACAAAGTCTAACGTGATTTGATCGATTTTGCGATCCAATAATCAGTGACGAGCGAATGTTGACTGATGCGTAACGCAGCGTAACAGCATCGAAACTCCGCCCGCGGCCATTATCTTAGTTGATACTCCGGCGTGACATTCACCATGATGCCGAAACGCGCTAGAGCGCATCAAATGCCAGCAAACGATCGTAATTTCCCTGAGCCCGGCGATGAACGAAGACGAAAGGAAGAAGAGCACGGGTGGCGATGTCTCCTAGAAAACTGAGCGCGCCACACTCACGGTCGAGCCGGCACTCGAAGCAGGGTCTCGCAATTTCACCTTTACCCTTACCCTTACTGCGACCAGGTGAGGGCAACGGAAAGGCACGCGAGAGGGTTGACGATCCGCCGATTGAAGAGCCACTGGCTGGGGGGAGCGGGCACGTTCGAGAACCCCTTCGTTGCGGGGTGGGTGGGTGGCTGGTAGGCTAGCAGGCAGGCAGGCAGCCCACAGTTACCTCGCACACAGGTGAGGCCGGTATCGACCTGACGCCAGAAATACCGCGCAGCATCGACCGTCGTCGTTATACCTGGTCTCGCCCTCCCCCGCCCGCACCCTCTTCCGTGCCGCTCTTCGCCGCCGTCCACCCCCGGAGGATGCGATGCCGGAGGGTGCCATGTAGTCGATGGTGGAGGGTTTGGGGGCTGACGCACGGTCTCACCACCGCCAATCCCTGGATCCTGGCGGTCGCGGCTGCGCCCTGCCGCGCCTTCCGCGGCGAAACCGCCACCGTCGCCACCGCCACCGCCGCCGTCGTCACGACGGTGAGAGAGGGCGCCGCGGCGATCCGGTGGCGGGGAGGACTCCGAGGGCAGACGTTCCAAAGCCACCCCGACGGAGAGACACGCCGAGACGCCCCTGCCATTGGGAGCCCTTCGGTCTTAGTAAGTATTCCGGCCGATTTCGTTTCCTGCTCCTATCTGTGTTCCTCGTACTGTCCTTTCTCCCGCTAGCACGTCTCCTCGCCCTTGTATTTCTCATTAAGGGATATGCGTGTGTGTTCCCGCGGTGAAATTTCTCCCTGGGTACTTCGATGCGCGACTCGCTGGGATCATTTGACAGAAATCGGTGTAGCTTCCGGCACGATTCAGACATGACTCCTGTGTATTTATCAATGCTTTTTCCTCCTTTTTCCGCCTCTTTGATATTTATTCAACCTTTCAAGAATTATTCTCGTCTCCTGAAACCTCGTCGATCAGTTCGGGAAGATTTATGTTAAAACAACGATAATTTTTTAACGATTTTCCGATTTTCTCAGCTATTTCTTATTAATATTCAATTTTGTAAATTTAGTTTATTCAGTATTAAAATTATTAATTAAAATTATTTTCATAAAACAATACTTTTTTTGAATTTTTAACAAAATGTATTTTATGTTTTTTCTGCAACTTCTTTACAATGCACAATATTCTTTCACGATTCTTTATTTTTACGCTTTCTTCTGGTTTGCTTTGCTTAAATGTCACTTGGAACAATGGTTAGAGTCATATATATATATATAGGATGTATCTGAAATAATCATAATCATACATTGTTCATTAATCATATAGTGCTATTCCTAATCAAAAATTAAATTGAAAAGTCTATCATTTTGCAATTTTCGCAATAATTAACAAGATATTAATTTCTAAAGATTGTCGAATAAAATCAATATATAAGACAATTTTGATATCTTTTAGTGTTCTTTACGAAATATTTTTCTACGAAATATTATTCGAAGATGTTTCTTAAAAAACTCTTAAAGATATCTTAAAAGTTGTTTTATACATTGATTTTAGGCATTTTGCTTACTGAGTAAAAAAAAAAAATATTGCAGAAATTGTAAAATGGTAGAGGACTTTTTGACTTAGTTTTTTATTAAGAATAACCCTGTATGATTAGTAGGCGTTATTTCAAATACACCCTATATATTTTTTTTTTCACACAAATAATATCACATTCCCCATATAATTGTTTATTCTCCAATTTTGTATCAATATTTTAGCCATAAATCTGTCTCTATTCTTTGCAATGAAGCTGATACAATTTGTTAAATTTTTAGTGCGATATAAATTTCATTCAAAAATCTAGAATATAACTTAAGTAGTACCATTGATATTTCTGTCCTGTTTTATATTTATAATTTTTAGAGAAAAATATCTATATATTTTGTTCAACATTTTTTAATGAAATACTTTAGATATTAATATTGCGATCCGACATTTTAGATCAAGATTCAGAGATTCGATTTTTTACATTTTTATTTTATTTTAATTACGATTAATAATCATTTAATAAAATAACACTTACTATCAGAAAGTGATAAAAATTACGAAATTAGGAATTGAAATTTTATAAATCGGTACACATTATTTTCATCAAGTCAGATTCATTATGTCAAATTCCTCGAGTACAGCTCGCTGTAATGTTGTGTAACACGGTCCAATCATCGTCGAAGGAAATCTCTGTGTTTTAGTTGAAATTTGCAATCACACAAGCGACGCAGGTAATAGGGGGATTATCTGCCGCAACCCTCTTGCAAACAATGGCGCACGAAATAACACATGGCTGCCAAATAACTATATTGCGATGCTGCGAGAGGGAGTAAAAATTACCTTGGGAAGTTACGCACGTGTGTAATGCCCGGTCTTCCTCAAATGTGCATGGTATGGGACACGGGACGTTATAGATAGATGCACAAACGCTAAATTTAAATCCGCCCATTGGTAACGCGTACATAAGATAATAGAAAGGTTAGTAAAAATTGTGTCGATAGTACATATACGATAGAATATGTAGAGTACGGACGCGTTGTACGATGTAATGCCTCACGCGCGATTGCGGCGAGTTAAAAATATGATGATGATGAATTTTAACTTCTCGAAGGTCGACGGACTCTGTCCCACCCCTTCATAACATATCCCTCTGCGAAACGGGCACGAATTATACTTTCGCACATAATTGCATTATTAATGTGTATATAGTCCCGCAACGCTTAATCTAATATTTTCTATTAGGGTTTTTGTTGTGGAAAAGAACTACTTGAACGCGGGTTACTAGACCACTTGGTTGTTTTCAGATTACTAATCTTCTTCTTTCCTTTTGATTTATTAGTAATGTTTGATCTAAATTGAGGATAATGTTTAAATAATAATTGACCTTAATCGAAAGTGTCACGAGATGGAAATAATGCACTATTTTTGTGGCACAAATCCGTAATTGTATCTATCTGTATTGGGGTTAACGAATGAATTTTTATCATTGTCTTTTTAACAGTACGCGAATTTTAAACGGTTGGAAAATGTTGTCGCCGTTGCAGACTCGGTTGTAAATTCGATTGAAAAGGTGGAGGGCCCGGGGACGCGAGGAGTCAAGGAGTCGGTGAACGACTCGAAGGACGAAGACGGATCAGACGTCGCCTCGACTTTGAGCGGCCTGCTCGCCGGTCTTCCGACCTTGGCGGGCCCCCAACGCCTCGCCAATTCCCTCAAGCAGAAGTTCGCCAGCAACTCCGGTGAGTCGGTGATACGTTGTTTTTTTTTTCACACGCGGCCTTCTTTCGTACATCAGGGAGGCTCGTTGCCGTAGTGGAGCCCGTCGATCGATCGCGTTGCGCCATTAACGAGAATCACCGGCAACAACGACGATTGACAGGCGCCATTTCGCAAACGCGAGAAGAATCGAACTATTGCGTTGTTCCGGATGATCACCCGAGGTTCTAGGTTAAATGTTAGTCCGCGTGTTATTATGATTATTTACAATCGATCGTGCATCCTGTTACTTTCGTGAAAAAGACAAGTCGGGATAATAATAGAATAAAAAAAAAAATAAATAAATAAATAAAACTGTGCGATATAAGTCTCCGCTAAACAAAATATTTATTCTCCAAAATAGTAAGTTAAATCAGGTAGACTGATCTAGATTACTGAAATTGGAAAAGAGTTGATAAATGTACTATTTATCAAGTATACTTGCGAGTACAATTCGCGAAAAGGTACCCCAGTTTTTTCTGCTTCAAATCTTGCGAGAAATACCATTATGTCACAACGCTATTGAAGTATAATTTAAATCCGCTATTTTCTATGCTTTTGCATTGTTATCTTGGCAGTTAAAAAAAAACATGAAAAGCGAAAAATTGTAGGAGAGAGATTCAAAAGAATTGGCGAATTGCGTCTCAAAGAAGAAAATTGCTACTTCAGCGCAATTTTCTTCTGTTTTATGAAGCATTTTAGCTATTAACTTTCCATGACTTTAATAAATGACGATAAATAAGATACAAGTTGAATAATCAAATTTTTTAACAACATGACATAACGATCTTTGACTGAAATATTTGATGTACGTGCTTTTTCTTATTCTTTAAGTAAAAAAAGAAAAAAAATCTTGTACTATCGTTCATTCTTTATTTTACGTAATTGTTTCAACGATCAACAATTTAACAAAAAACAATATCGCTCACAATTACTGTCGAGCTATTTCTTTCTGCACTTAACACTCGTGAGATGATTAGCGACGACCCCGATGACAAGCACGTCACATCGACCCTCGCCTCTTGTTTTCTCGACGCTTTTTTTCGTGCTGTTTTTATCTCCGCCGTAATACGATACACGATATACTATAGTAAGGCTCGCTCAGGTACACAGAGTCGATCTCGCGGCACCTTATCGTAGATCGTGGGGGAGCCTTCATCCGGTATCGTGTTCTCTTTCACGCGCACAAAAGGGGAGCAGAGCCTACGAAGAAAAGCCGAGTCAAGTGCGGGCGTATGCGTTTTCGCAACGTGTTTCTTTCCCGCACGCAAGACTGTAGTCGATGTCGGCGTGTTGATGATGTTGGCGAGGTTACGAAGTTGGGGTTGGGAAGGTTGAGTGAATGGGTAGATGGATGTCGTTCGCACTTCGCGCTGACCACAGGCCGGGTCAGGGCTCCCCTATTCTTCTCCTCGGCAACC